TAGTAAAACGCTGATTGGCCAGGCAGGCAGTATAGGCGGGAAAGCCAGACAGGAAGTAGGGGTGGAGCAAAGAGACTGGGAGTATTCTGGGAAAACAGGAAGCTCCCTCCGCCACTCCTGCACAGACAACCGAAGAGGCAGCATGTAACTTGCCCAGCTGAGAAAGGTACGGAGCCATGTGGCTAATGTAGATAAGGATAATGGGGTAACATAAGTTATAAGAGCTAATGAGTAGCCTGACCTAATGGGCCAATCAGCTTTATAACTTATAGAGATCTCCGTGTGTATGATTTTCCTTGGGGCTTGCCGGCTGTGGGGTACCATGCAGGACAGAAACCCCAACAAGTCGGCCCCTCATGCTACACATACCCAGCACAGAGCACAGGGTGCCAGCACTGTTTAAAAGCCGAGCAGCTGATGATGGGGTGCAGAGAAGAAGCACCTTACAAAGGGAAGAAGCAAAGACAGAAAGAGGCCATCAGCCTTGGATCACAGGCAGTCAAGGAGAGAATGTATTTGATGTCAGACATACTTGTGCCTCCTTTAGTGACTTCCTTCAGTCCGGGTCACTAATTTCTCTACCAAGGAAACCATTGGCCTATGAGTGGTAGAATGCAGATGAAGGCCAACTAAGATGAATCCTTCCACCATATGAGGAACTCAAGATGTGTCCCGGAGGTGTGAGAAGCTGAGCAACACTGAACTACACACCAAACTCTGGGCCTCAGGAGGAAACTGGATGAAGACCCTCGGGCCGGGGCTCAGTCAATCCTCAAAACACTTGCTTCCTCATCAAATGGACAGGAGCTATTCCCCCGTCCCCTCCAACAGCACCCTCCTAGAATATGTCACCAGGCTCACAGTCTGGGAACAGTATACCAAAGTATGTCCTGTTATTAGTTGGTCTTTAAGTAAATTTAACAAGGGACTGGGGACATGGCTCAGGGGTTAAGATCACTGGCTGCTCTTCCAGATGACCTGGATTGGATTCTTAGCATCCACATGGTAGCTCGCCACTGCCTGTAACTTCAGTTCTGGGGGTCTGACACCCTCTTCTGGTGTTTGCAGGTACCAGGCATGCACATGGTGCACAGACTTATTGGCAGGCAGAACAGCAGTTTGCATAAAATAAAATTTAAAGTTATAAAAGGAACCAATGATACCAAGTTAAATAGGATTTCAAATAGATCCCTGGAATATCCTGTCTTGTTAATTGCTTATTGGCTACGGCCTTTATGTTCACCTATAATATCCATAGTGATTATAGAGTTCTAATATTAGACATTCTTGAATAGGCAACATTTCATAGGTGAAGATACTAGAATGAAATATTGATGGATTTACTCTATCCTATTAGGACATAAAAACCCAACTGAGGAAATAAAAACTTTTCTGGATGGGTGTGCTAGCTTTCTGTTCAAGGTCAAACCTTCTGACACAATCGGCTCTAAAGGAGGAAAATTCATTTTGATTCATGAAGTAAGAGACTTTAATCTGAGACCATTTGGCCCTGTTCTATTGGCTGCACAGCAGAGCATGAAGGAAGCATGTGGCAGAGGACTCCTTTCACAACACCGACACAAAAAGAGCAAGAAGAAGGAGAGTCCCAGTTGCCCTGTCATAGGCACCCACCCCCCAGTCATCTAGCATCCTCCCACTAGGCCCTAGCGGTCCCATCATGGGCTCTGGGAGACATTCAACGTTCGAACTGTAATAAGAGTGAATACAATAACAGCCACCCACGAGGAAGCAGCACTCTACTGACAACCTCAGACAGAATTCTTCCATCATGACATGTTCTGAAATTGATAGTTCTCCATTCAGTGTTATTGATAGTACTCCATTCAGGGTTATGTTATACTCCCAGGGGAGAAGATAACAACATGGCCTGCGAAGAGATGAAAAGGGGCTTTAAGAGCAATAAGACAAATCCCCTTGGTTCTGAACATGGGGGACAGGTTCACACAGACTGAATGACCTGGGCAAACTCGCAGAGACGAGAGGTGGCAGGGCCAGGTCTGCTGGCACCCCGATGCCCCCATTGCCTAAATCCAATGAAATGAGATGCCCTATGCACATACCAGCATCAGAGTCAGCAAACAGTTCACCTCTCAGACTTTCTAGTTTGGTGCCTCATCAACAGATACTTATCTGCCAAGACACAAAACGATTTCCTATTCTAGTTTGCTACAGGATACACTTAATTATAGTAAATAGCAAGTGATCATTTTAAAGCTCTGATTCCTACAGTGTTTGAGACAGACCAGTCTAGAACTACTTTGAGGCATCAGTCACTGGTGAGAGAGAGAGAGAGAGAGAGAGAAAGAAAGAGAAAGCTCTGAAACCAGAATTGCAAGGCACATCATCACTCCAGAGGCGGACTAGAGATCAAATAGAAGGAAGTGGCAAACAAGAACAATTTGTTCACTAAACCCAAACAGACGAAACCAGCACTTCAAAGTTAACATCTTGTACAGTTTGAAACATCTGGATGCTTTGTTTCCGAGAGTTAACTTCCAGAAATTAAAAAAAAAAAAAAGAAGCAAACTTGACCCCTGAGTTTCTTAGCAAACTACACTTGCCTTTTTAAAAAAATGTTAAACAGCATGTGTTGGGGATTTATATGATGTTTTGAGAACACAAAATCCTATTGGGATTTTTTTTTTTTAAATTTAAGCAGCAGAAAACCCAGATTAAGAAAAGCACATGTAGGCAAGAGCTTTCTGTTTGGATACAACTCTCTAGGCGCTGGGATTGCTCAGAGCAGTGTCCATGTATGACAGCAGGAGCCTCCAGTCACCCTAACAACCACAGCCAGAGCACCAGAGGCAGACAGGCTGTCACCAGACGTGGTGATCATGGATTCCAGGCCAGGCCAAAGATAACACAATATGTTCATTTGTTTTAGCCTCACACAACGTGTGTTCTTTAATAAACAACTCTGCTACATTAAACATGTCCGGGTCAACAAACTGGAAGGTTTTTTTTTTCCTGTCCATAAAACACCAGCAGACTATTACCCACCTACCATATGAAGGATGAGAACCATATATTTCTCAAAGCTATTAAATGCACACTCAATTTCAGAAAAGACCAATTATAGTTGGAAATGCTTATTAAAAATATGACTTATGACAAGTACTTGCAAGCAAGGATTTTTTTGAAGAAAACCTTTCTCTCTCTTTTTTCCTTTTTAAAGCTGTTTTCATGGGCTTTGGGTGACAGGAATGCTTTTTGGGAGAAAACACACAGCAATGATATTTGTCTTTAGCCCCAGGGCATTTAATATGGAAAGCAACAAGATCTTAGAATTTAAAAAAAAAGTCTCTTTAATCAGGGAGCTCTGATTTGCAGAAAATGGTTTAGTAGTTGTAGTTGAAACTCTTAAGGGGCCTGGAGACTGCAAAGCTGCACACAGAGGTAAACCCGTAGGCTCAGCTTTATTATGGGATGAAATATTTTGTCACCTGGGCAAATCGGTGGAAATATTTCCTCTTCTGAAGTTCTGCAAATTGGCTTTCTGTCCTGGGCAGCTGACTTAAGACTGCAAATTAAATCATTCAAACTTAAGGCTACTTATGATGCTGAATGAGCTACAACCAAACACTAACCACTATTTCCCCATTATTAGATGTATCCAGCCCCTCTGTAGCTGTTTTCATCGGGGCAGGTATACCGTGGTATCACTGTATCTAGCCTCAGATGGGCAGTGCAGAGGAAAGGGCTTAGAGCTGGTGTTGATCATTTGAGAAAGGGCTGCCAGTCTTGGAAGTCATAAAAATGTTACTCCAGCTTTTTAAATGGGCGTGGCTTAGCAGTAGGTAGGTGTGGCCCTTAGTAGTAGTGTTCCAGTCTCAGCGCTCCGAAATTGTCAAATGTGCTTGACAATCATTAGCAGTGTTTAATTATCACGTGTGTTTCTGCGATGTGAGGCGAAGAAAGCAGCAGACCGTTTGAGTGCTTGGAATATCTTTGAACGGTAGCCTTTAAAATACGGTTTTCAGAAGCCTCTCCCCTCAACCACGTCAGGGGGATTACCACGGTAGATTTTAAGGAGTTTGACGTTTTCTTAGGTATTAGTATCAATCAAAAACTCACTTGCTTTCACACATTTAAGGAAAGAGTTTTGTAAATGCTTTGAAATATTTCCCGTATCAACCCAAATTCCAAAGCATTAAGATAATGCTTTGGGGCAGAATCCAAGGATGGAGGGGGAGGGGGGACAAAAGAAACAGGAAGTGAAAGTGACAGAGCTGGCACTCTTTCTCACCGCCCAGCTGAACGATAATAAATATTTACATATATTGCTCTCCCTTTAGCGATCTGATGCTAACCCAGTAATTGAGGGGTGGGTTGACTCAGCCCCCGCCCCCAGCCCCAAACAGCCTGAGGTTCTTTTCCCCAACGCACACGCACACTCCCGCCAGCATTTTCCCGCTCTTCCTTTCTGGTGCACACCCACACTTCTTCCCTTCCCCTCGAGGTTCCACACAGGCCACGACACAAGCTGTGGCCGCCTAACTGTTACCCACAGTACACCCTTCTGATTCATTACTGCCTCCTATTTACACGCAATGAAGGGTATAAAAGGGAGGGGCTTGGAGTTTGGAGGACGGTCCTGGGCCAGTCCACCCTGCTTAACGCCTACCCCGATGACAGTCCCTTTGGGGAAATCCCACCCCGGACAAAGACACCTAGGACACAGTCACCCAGCGGACAGCCCACCCTGAGGAAAGCACGCCGCCCTCTCCCGACTCCGCCTCTACCGACTACAAACTGCAAGACGCCGCGGTTGGGGTCGACCAGCTGCACTCCCGGGAGAAGCGCCCCGAGCTGGCCACTCTGGGCAGTCTCCCCGCCGCCCAGGGACCAATCGTCCGAGGCCACCACCTGTCGGGGCACCCGGACGTGCAGAGCAGCACGCAGGGAACTGCCTGGTTTTCACTCCGGCCAAAGTTGCCCGACGCAAACTTTCCACCCGAGCCCGCGTCGCTCCTTACCTGGGGTGTGGGTGACAGTGGCCTCGGACATGCATGATCGTGGGCTCGAATCGTCGGCAGCAGCCGCGACCGTCCCAGGTAGAGCCGGCTCAGGAGCATCCTCCTGCCTGGCCGGAGCTCCTGGCATCAGCGACTCATCCTCCAGACGCCAGAGCTCAGCCCGCCCCGCCAACTGGGGCGGTGACAGGAGGGTGTGTCTCCGCTTCCACTTGGCTTGGTGCACACCCGGGCTCCAGGCTCGGTATTTTTCCTCCGACAAAAAATAAACCATTTTTTTGTTTGTTTGTTTTTTAGAAAGAGCAAGTGGAGTTCCCAGTCTTAGGCTTCTGGTGCCTCTCTTCTTCCCGCACGTATTTCTTGAGAAAAGAACAAGAGCCAGGCCCACACCACGCTGCTGTTGACAGCAGCCAGTGCCGGAAGTGGTGAGGCAGGCCTGGGACCCCAGATTTGGAAACAGAGGCCTGAAGATCGGTAGTTCAAGGCCATCCTCCACTAAATAGCTGGAGGCCAATCTGTGCTACGTTAAACCCTGTCGTAGGAACCGAAACTCCCACAACCAGTTTCCGGCACCGCATGCTGGGAGTGTAGTTCTCTGCGTTGGTAACTTCCCCACCCGCTCCCCGGTCCCCTTGCCTTTACACAGGGAGACCCGGGACCCTGGAAAAAGGACTTCCGGGATCTGGCAGGGGAAAAGGTTCCTGGAAATTATTCTCCTTTGCCCAGCTGGAGAGAGTGAGAGACGTGGGTTTGTCAAAGCTCCACCTTCGGGTGGGCTGCACGGCTTGAGTTGAGCCTGCCAGCAGCCTGAGCCCAGGGCTCTAGGTGCACCAGAGGTTTGTAGATCATTACTGTCTGGCCCAAATCCAAACTCTGGGAAATTTTCTTCCACAACAGAACTGGCTTCTCTTTGGGGGACAGATGAAAGGACCCTCCTCTCCCGGGGGCAGGAGTTAAGCCTGTGTAAGCGCTGTTTAAAATGACTATTAGTGTTAATGATCAGTTCTGTATGTTCCTATTGTAAGCACTCCTGACTCTCACTTTCCTGTAAATAGCAAACATGTGGGGGCGGGAGGCAATTTGGCTTCCTAATTGGCAACTGTTGGACTTTCCCTTGATTCTACGGCTGCCTGGAGCCAAAGGACTGTCAGTCAAACCGCCAGCTACTCTGCCACTTTGAGCATATCACAGAGGGCTTGAGGAAATGACCCAATGATGACACAGCTGTTGGTTACAGCTCCTGAACTTGAAGCCTCGACATGGGCTGCTTTTGCTAGTACAAGCCCTTTAACTATTTTATCCAGACCAGAGGGGAAAGCGGTTCACCTGGTCGCTCAGAAGCTACAGTGCTGTGATTGGCGGACACACAAACGACCCATATGAGTTTTCCTGTGGTTAATAATACCCCTTCTCTAGCTATATAAACAGGGTGTTCTGGGAGACACCATCGTGTTTTGCCTGTTCTGGTGTTGCAACATTAGGCCCAATAAAAGGCTGCTCTAGGTCAATGGTATACCAGCAATCAAGAAGCAGAAGCAGAAGGATTTTGTAAATTCAAGGCCAGCTGGGTCTAAGTAGTAAGTTCCAAGCTAGCCAGGAATACATAGTGAGATGCTGTCCCAAAATTTAAAAAAGAAAAAAAAAGTCTTCTAATACAATTTCTTAGTTAGGGTTTCTATTGCTGCAAAGAAACACCTTGACTAATAGGCAAATGGGGGGGGGGCATTTGGTCTACACTTCCAAACACTGTAGTCCATCATTGAAGGAAGTCAGGACAGGAACTCAAACAGGACGGGACCATGAAGACGGGAGCTGATACAGAGGCCATGGAGAGATGCTACTTACTGCTTATTCTCCATGACTTTCTCAGTCAGCTTTTTCATAGAGCCCAGGACCACTAGACCAGGGATGGCACCACTCACACAGGGTTGAGCCTTCCCCATCAATCACTAATTTAAAAAATGCCTTAGAGGCTTGCCTGCAGCCTGACCTTATGAAGGCATTTTCTTAATTGAGCTTCCCTCCTCTCAGAAGACTTTAGCTTGTGTCAAGCTGACGGTAAACTATCCAGCACAAGAACGGTCCTTCCTACGTTTACAGCGTAGGCCGACCTGGTTATGCAAGGGACGAAATCAGAGTCAGAAAAGCAGTGCCGGCAAACGTGGCTCCTGAGCCCCAGAAACAGGGGAGCAACCAACAGCTCCGACAACCCCAGGGCAGGCAGAGCTGTGGAGAGAGGAGGGCAGGCCAAGCTGCAGAAGTGGTGCGGGGGAGGGGTTGGGGTAGGGGGGTGGAGAGGTAGGGGGTGGGGGCTTCAGAAGTGGGGGAAGACTTGGCTGCACTGAACTAGAACTGCAGAAACTGGTGACCCAGACAGGCAGGCAGTGCTGGAGAGCTGAATGTTAGGCCAAGTGCTACCTAACATGTTAGGCCTCAGTGGCAGCTACAGCAGCAAAAGCAAAGGCATGGTGATGTTCCCGAAAGAGTCAAAGGAGCCTAGGCTGTGACTGGAATCATACTGCAAGGGCCTGATGAGGTAGGTGGGGCAAGAGCCCTGGCGACTCCTGCAGAGGCTCCCAGTTCCATTCTCAAACTCTGGGTACCATGGGATCTGATGCCCTCTATCACCTGTGAGTACCCGGCATGTGATAGTTGCACATGCATAAATGCAGGCAAAACATTTTGCACAGAAAATAATAAATCTAAAAAAAAAATTAAACCTGCTTTAAAATGTCATCAATCAAAGGGGCTGCAGGAAGGAAGCTCAAAGAGGACAACAACCAGAACATCTGATGTTTTGACTTTGGGACCTTTTGTTTACAAAATAAAGAAAAACAAGGTGTTTATGAATATCCCAGCGGCTATACTTGGCAGCTCATGCCTAAATCCCAGAACTTGGGAGGCAGAGACAAGAAAGGGGTCACCATAAGTTTGAAACCTGCCTCAAATGCATAATGACTTCCAGGCAAGCCTGGGCTACATAGTGAGACCCTGTCTCAAAACAAAACAAAACAAAACAAAAAACCAAAAACCCACCACCATCACCAAAACACCAGCAATAAAAACCATAGGGTGTTATTTAAGATCCCTGTTATAATATGAAGCCAGAGTATGAATCTAGCATTTAGGTCTAGAATTACATAATTTATGGCTCTAAGATTTTAATCTTAGTTGAATAGTTCCTGTTTTCTGCTATCAGCTGACCACTGGCCTCCTCCCAGCCACAGATGTCATAGACAGTCGGGATCTGGGTGACCCTACAAAATGTGCTATGCAAATCCTGAACTTGAAACTGAGATATTTTGCACATCAAGAAACTTTGCACGAATTTCCACCTGTGTGCATACATATTCACATGAGTATACATGCACATGTGTAGCCATGCCTGTGAAGGCCAGGTGTCAGTCTGTGGTGTCACTTTTTAGGAGCTGTGCGCCTTGGTGTTTGAGACAGTGACTCTCACGACAGTGATTCTGTCGCAGACCTGGTGCTCACTAGGGCAGGCTGGCTAGCCAGCAAGCTCCAGGGATCTTCCCATCTCTGCCTCTCCAGCATAAGGAATACAAACGGGTATGGCTGTTCCAGGCTTTTTCTCTTGGGCCACCATCCAGCTCTCAAATCATGATACGAAGACTTATTATTAGTTAAGAATGCTCAGCCTTAGCTTAGCTCTTATTTTAATGTGTTTCTTGCTATGTTTTACCTCAGTGCTTTTTGCCTGCCTTTTCTTTCCTCCTTTCTTCCTTTTCTTCTTCCTTCCTTCCTTTCCTTCCTTTTCCTTCTTTTTCTTTCCTTTTCCTTCCTTTTTTTTTCTCTCTATCTTACTTTCCCATTGTCTCCATGGCTGGCTGCCAACTGCCTGACTTCTGGCCTGGGTCACGTCCCTCTCTTTCTCCCAGGTTCTCTCCTCCTGCTTTCCTTTCTCTTGAGCCTCGATTTCTCTTTCTACTTATTCTCTCCATCTGCCAGCCCCACCTATCCCTCTCCTGCTTAGCTATTGAGGCTTCAGCTCTTTAGACCAGTTGGTGCCTCAGGCAGGCAAGGTGAAACAAATGTAACACATCCTTATATCATTAAACAGATGCAGAGTAAACAAATGTAACACATCTTTACGCTGTTAAAGTAATATTCTGCAG